TAATGGGGATCCTACTTTAAAACGCGTGGGGTCCGACTTAGGAAAGGGAATGTTTTGGAAGAATGTGGCACCTTTAATTATTGCGTCGTAGTATGTGTAAGAAGCGGTTAACGAAGCACGTAATTTGTTAATTTTATTCTACTATTACATGCTAGTCATGAGAAACAAATTCTTACCTGCTTAGACGTGATGATCATAAATTCACGTTCGAACAACTTGGTGAATCATATACAAATCAGAATTGAGTAATAACGATTCCACAGATTGATGACAAGACTACGAAGTATTTATTCCTCTTAACTGTAGTCTGCAATACTTCTTACGCAAAAGAAGGCGGAGGTCCTACTTAGAAGTAGGGATCTATCCAACTTTGGTCCTTTTCCTCTAAATATTAGGGAGAGCGGATCAATCAAGTTCGGGACTCAGCAGGACCAGGCGAGGGAGACAGAGACAGACATACACTCGATTTAATTTCGCTCGCTGAGGGGGAAGTAGACAGAACAGAGGTACTATTGACGCCGACACGTTTTTACGCAGCGTATGTTAATTCAAACGGTTTTTTTCATAAACTATATAAAATAAATAAGAAAATTCTCTTATTGTCTGGTTTTGAGTGGATGCAAAAAGTAAGGTACTCTTGTTATGTACAGTACAGTGTAATCGTTTTTAATCCTAATTTTTGTAGTTTGGGATAAAGTAAAAATGCGTTTATATCTTGGGAGAGAAACAATGAGATTTTTGAATAATGTAGATATCGAAACGTTCTAGTTCAAGTGCTTCCCAAGAATCAAAAAAATGGTTTCCAAACTTTTTTGATTCTCGGCGCCCTTGCTAAATCCACATTTTCTTAAGGCGCCGTGTCAAATTCTAACAGGTACAATTTGCAAAATAGCCAATATTTTTTTTAAACTAAAGAGTTAGGACGTTAAGTAAAAAATAGATAAAACGTATTTAAGATAATAAAAAATGTAATCGAACAAATTCAATTAATTATAATTAGTGGATGAATGAGCCTGTTGATCACAGCACATTTTCTCAATCTTGGAATCAAACTGGTCACTGTGGAGAAGGAAATGAAGATAGCTGTGAAGCTATCTTCATTTCCTTCTCCACATTGATTTTCGTGCAATGCTTAGTTTTTATCACAACTACAAACTCAGCTTCGCACAAATAAGAAGTCGCAAATGGAATTAAGATTCTCTGAGCTTTACCACTCAGAAAGATATTCATTTTTTATTGATATCTAAAATTCAGTTAATTTCATGCTGCTAAATTCATGTATTGTCGCATATCAACCCAATAAGATTTTCTTCTTCCTCAGCAGTAAATTCACATGGTGAATTGGAATTAAATGTATCTTGAATCCACGTAAATTTATCGATATTACCACTTTGAAAATATTTCTCAAACCAGGTGATAAGCTGTAATAAATGTTCTTCAAAAATAGATTTCATACCTCGAGAGAAATCAACTCCATTGGAGGTCAAAAACTGTTGCAACAAGAGGAAACATTTTTTTTCCTGTCTTCATTTATTTTTCTTTTCCATAGTTTTTTTTTTTTTTTTAATAAAAGCTGAAATTTTCTCAGTCGACTTTAAAAGGTGCATGTTGCTTTTCTGCAGAGAGAGATTTAGAGCATTCATCTTTTCATAAATATCACATAAGTATTCTAGTTTTACCAAACAATTTTCATTCACAAAATTTTCGGCATTCTTGTGGTTTTCCTTTTTAAGAAAAATATAAATTTTCTGTCGCAATTCAAATGCACGAGACAAAACATTACCACGAGAGAACCATCACTCTCTCGTGGTAATGTTTTGTACTTTCTCAACATGTAGTACAACAAAGACATGTGGTTGGATCCCATATCCTCACATGCCTTCAACAGCCGAGTTTTTATAAAATTTACTACATTCACTACATATTCTAAGGCCCGGTTCAATGTAGGACTCGGATATTTAGATGTGAGTGCTTCCCTGTGAATAACGAAATGGGTCCACAGTGCATCAGGATCTTTGCTTCGAAAAAGTGCTTGCAATCCTTCATAACATCAGTACATATAACGATCACCATCAGTACAGATACTAATGCATTTGGTCCGATCCAAATTATTTTTAGATATAAAAACATCAAGGATCTCGAACAAGACGTGAGCCTTAGCACCAGCAGTCAGTGGCGGCCTTAGGGGGTGGCGAGCAGGGCAATCGCCCGGGGCCTCGCGCAACAACCAAGTAGAAAAAAGTTGATATTTAAAACTTTTTATTTTATCCTTGGCTATTAGTTATAACAATAAAATAAATTTAATTTATAGTACAGTATATATTAATATTAATAAGTGCCTACTATTTCAATTCACATACTTTGCACAAAGGACAAGGGCCTCGCAAAGATCTGCCGCCCAGGGCCTCGCAATGGATAAGGCCGCCGCTGCCAGCAGTGATACTTTTACAAAAGAGAAAGTCTTCTACAATGTTATTATTATCTATAAACTGTACATAGCAAATCAAGTGAGCATCATTATTATTATTATGTGTGTCCTCATCCAGCTGCAATCCAGACTCCTTTCATTTTTTCAATTAATTGAACATTGGAGGTCCTTCGCTATGTTCTGTATTCTGCGACTGATGGTGTTATTGGGCAAAGGCACTTTTGAAAGCTGCACAGATTATAGTATTTAGCATATCTACAGCAGCTGGTAGAATGAGTTTTTCTGCGATGGTATGAGGCTTTTTACATTTTGCGATTCTGTGTGCCACCTTTATTGCTGAGTTAATGATTTGCACCCGGTATGCTACGTGTCACATCCTATCACACTGAATTGAAAGTAGAAGTAAAATTATGAAAATTTTATATTTCGTGGCGCCCGTGAAGAAGTCGCGGCGCACACTTTGAAAACCGCTGTTCTAGTTCATGTTTTCTAATTCATAGAACATAGAAAATGTTAGAGGTAACAGTTTGAATTAGCAATAAATTCAACTTCTGAATGAATATGAGTCAGAATACAAATTTGTCTAAGAATTATTACTTTATTAGTTATTTTTTCAAGAATTTTTTTTTATCAATTAAAAGATTAGTTATCTTTTCCCGTGTTTGCGTTACAAACTGATTATATTTTCTACTTAGAAGAAAACTATATAAAGTATAAATGATGTAAGAAACTTCTAAGAGATTTTGAAATCAGAAAATTGAGAAAAATTTCAAATTAGCAATTTTTCAATTTTATTTTCAGAAAACTAGAGCTATGAAAGTTCGATAGGTCGAAAATTACATGACTATTTTTCAATCATTACGGTTTAAGAAATTTTCAAATGTAATATTTAAAATATCTTCGAAAAAAATGCATTTTAATTAATAGAGTTTAATTATTTTTGCACTAAAAATGATTGAGGTTCTCTCAGAAAAGCATTTTTTTTAATAAAAACTATAAAAAATTCAATTCTCATGTTACAGGCAGTACAACTTTATTTACTCTAGTGTTGCCTTGTTCCATCAATTTAATCTAAAAAATAAGATAAAAAGGTCTCAATAATTTCCCAAATAATAACTTATTCTTTGCATTCAATATTGTTTTATGTAGGTAGGAATAATTCGCAGCAGCAATAGTTTTCATAAAGTGTTCTCTTATTTTATACTAATTAATTTTTAAATAAGTGAATAAGAATGAATTTGGATAGTTGTATAACAAGTGTTGAAATTAATTAACCTTAAACGTCATGGAATAATTATTGAAATTTCAGAAATATTTACAATTCAATGAAAATATGATAGTAGTTTTAAGTGATATTTTGAATTTTTAGGTTGTCTTTATCCTGCATCTTATTTTTTGAGTTCTTATATTTTATGCTTTAAATCAACTATAAAAACATTTGATTTAAAATTTGAAAATTTAAATTACTGCATGAAAACTCATTATTATTATTCTTACATTTATAATTTACAGTTACATTACAATGCATTTTGTGTGTGACAAGCCAAATAGACAGAATTGATTTTGGAAGAAGAGCATCAGGAGCAAAATATGGTAAATTTTGTTTTTATTGTTTTCTTAACTTCGAAAAATCAAATAAATTATGTATTCACTTTTATAGGTGATCTATCTCCCGGAGCCATAGCAGGAATATGTATTGGTTCAATTGCATTTGTTAGCGGGCTAATTGTTACAATATTTTTCTGTTATCATGTTTACAAAAAACAAAGGGCTCAGATGTCTGTCTATGATACTACAAAGCATATGCCATTAACAACATACGTTAATTAAAATTTAAATGAATTATAATAATTCAAAGCAGCCTTTTAAAATTTTGTAACACAAGTGTTTTTAAAAGAATTTAATGTCTTGTAAATTAAAAGAAAAATTATCATTACTTAAATAGTATGTACATAGGAAAGTAATTTTGCTATAAAAATATTAAAAGTACAATAAAAAAAACCCAGCAAATTTAAGTAATAAATATTGTTCATTTGAAAATTACATTGTAGAAAATATTAATGAAAATTGGTAAAGCAATAAAAAATACTATTACAGGCATATTTCAAAAATACTTAGCATGAAGATATATGAACTTTTACACAAAAAAATGTTTTTTTTTTTATTAAGTAAAAATTAGGTTATAAAAATTCATAATTTCTAAGATATTGCAAACAAAAAATTTATATTTTATTCTTTATTGTTATAATTGTGTCAAAATGATGTCTTAATAAATTCATTAGGATAAATTATGATCCTTTTTCAGATGAACAATTTTTTACTGTAATAAGTGTCTTTTTTAAAAAATAAATATGAAAAGTAAACAGAACACATCATATTGAAGTCAAACTCTTAATTTTATTGATAAATACAATTTAATAATATATTTCCAGAATTAATATATAAATTGTAATAACTTGCATCAATATAATTACCTGAAGTTAACTTATTATTAACCATTTCATGAAATTAAAGTATAAATTATCAAGAGAAATATTTTCAAAGTTCAAACTCAAATTCATTTTCATAGTAATTAATCTTTCCAGCGATGACCACATTGAGGATTACAGCATTTATAAAATGTGGTCATTGGTTCATCAGCTGATCGTGTCTGTAGCTGCATGAAATAGGCTCTTGCATGTTCACACTTTGGACACGGTTCTTCAGTAGAGTCCACATTATCCCATGCAGCAGCTCCACCTAATACATCATCTACTTCTTTCAATTTTGGATACTTTCGAGTGCTAATTCGTCTGGAGATGTTATGGATGTATGGACATGTACTACATGCAAATCGATAGCCTCTTCCACCTTCTTCAACTGTCAAAATATTAGCACAGATAGGACAAAAAGTCAACATCTTATTTAATAAGAAGAAGGTATAGACTAGAAGCAACACAACAACTGGCTACAGCTATATGTAATCTGATACCCACTACAGAAGCTGTAAGAAAAAAGTTTAACATTAATATTAAATTTATAAAGTAATTAAATTTAAAACATTATGCTATTCAATTTATAAGACTACTGAGTTAATTAAATCCAATTATTTTTTCTCATAAATTTATATAAAAACACCATATGATTAAACAAAATACCAGTAGAAATCTGAATTGCTAGATTATTTTTTGGCTATATTACATAAATTAATTAAACAACAAAATGTGATCTAAAAGTTACACTGCTATCTAATGTTATGATAATTAGAACTGATTTTCAAATTAAATTTAATAAGTTAGAAAATTCTAAAAGAAAAATCATCCTGCAGTAGAATTTGAACAAGCAACTTCTGCTTTTCGTGCACACTACAGAGATTCAGATAACATAATTGGAAAGGCAACTGCACAGTGAGCAAAGTTGAGTTTGAATTCTGCTCAAAAAATTTTGATGGTGCAAGTTGCTAATTAATTGTAAGTCATCTTACAATTTTCTGTTGTTTTTTCAGGTTAAATTGATTTTTTTAGCATCATCCCAGTTATNAATTAAAGATAAGTTTTTTTTTTTAAACCAAGTATTAATAATTAATAATGATATTTTTGATATATATATCAAAAATATCATTATTAATATATATATATTACACATATATATAATATTAGAAAGTTGGATGACTTCTGATTCTCGTGATACAATATTACCAATTTTATTAATCAAATGGGTTACCAATTCATTTCACTTACTCTACAATATGAGAGATAAAATTTTATTAATCTAACCTCCATCTCTTTATGTAATTAAATTTTTGAATAATGGGATTCAATCCTTGTCATTAATATTCTAGATTTAAGATTGACTATTATTATGATCTATGCTCTTTACTCAAAAAGAATCAGTCTATTTCAAATTCTTCAGTGTTATCATGTTTATTCTTGAATCCATATACAACTGCAGATTTATATTATATGGTGATTTTAACCTTTCTAATGTTTCTTGGACTTCTGTTGATTTGAATTTTTGTACTTTTGATGATTGCAATTATGTGGCTATTCTAAACTGTTAAATATTTTTAATAAAAGATTCATAAAACTTTACTTATATTTAACTTTTTGAACAAAAGTATCACTAGATGAAGCCTTTTTTCTCAATGAAATTTAGTATTTTTTAATATTTCCCAAGGAATTTTTTCTCCTACATGCAGCAATTCTTACCTCAATTTCACTTTTCACAATAATTGTCTGTTGTCAAACTCCCTTACTAATGTATTTGTCTCTTAATCATTCAGCTATTTGCTTGGATGTTTCTATTGACCCAATTACTATAAAACTACAAGACTTGTTATAAAGTCCCAAACTAGTTGCACTTTAACCAAAAATCAGCTGCCAGATACTTATATTCTTTAGACTGGACACATTCTTAGAATCTTGAAGTTTCACTCACTGCTTGTACTAATCTTACTTATATTTTAACATTAGCTATTAATTTTGTAAAAACACAAAATTGGTTTCTTCTCATATAAATAGTTTTCTAATAAACTAAAAGCATTATGTTGCTTTTAGTTTATAAGCCATTGTGTATTAAATTTAATAATTATAATTTAATTAAATAATTTTAGATTAAGCTAGAAGAAAAGAATCAGACTGGAGTGGGACTCAAACCCGCTGCTTACTGTGCAGATGTGTTGCCAGTTACACTATCCAGACCTCTGGTCTGATTTCCTTTTCTGGTATATTTAATTATTAAATTTAATACAAGATGACACTTAATTCCTCCCTCTAGGGTTAAATTTATTAGTAATTTATAATTATTATTGCCAAACTATAGCCCGATGATATACGGCAGTTGAAGGTATATTATTGCAATGTATTGGGTTTAGTAAGATGTTTATATTGACTCTGCTTCTATTAATTATGTTACATTAATATTACTCTCTCAATTAAACTTGACTTAATTTATTAAAAATCTTTCAACAAAGCAGGAATCTCCCATTTAAAAAACAAACAAGTTTTCTTAGTTAAAAATATCAATGTAATCTACATTCAAGTCATCTAGTTCTAGAAAAATGCATTTTCAATGTTTCCCCAAAATTCATAAAACATTCCTCTTCAATTTTCCAATATATTAAAAGCTTAAATAATTAAAACATTCACATTTAAAGTCATAAATGTCCGTATTGTTGAAAGATTGATCATTATTATTCATATCATTTACTTGAGAAACACTTATCTGTACTGTTATAAATTATTAAATATTCTTATTCAATGATCTGGGAATAATCTATGATGATAAACTTACTTTTAAAAGTCATATTGATAAAATAGTTAAATCTCAGATTGTTAAGACATGTAATGTAAATCTATCTCATCTAAAAGTGCATTAAGAACTTTTTATTTTTTTTTACTAATTTTCAATCTTGCCACTAATTATGAATTTTACCCATTCTGTCTACAGATTCATCTCTTGGATCAGATTAAGATTACTCATGCTCTTGGATAAGATTACTAGAGCTCTTGATAAAATTTATTCTTTAACCTGGGGTAATGCAGTAGGGTGTTTCGCCACCCTCAACGTTTTAAAAGTTGCACTATTCATAGATTTTGCAAGAAATATTTGTGTCCTCTTCAGTAGCTTCATGATTTTATGTATAGAGCATGCTCAGAAATTACTACGATGCTGCAGAAATTCCAGTAAGAGAAAAACAACAGTTCTCAGTGGGGTGTCCAAACACCCCACAGTATTAATTACGTTTTTTTTTAAATTTTACAAATATTTATTTAGTTTTTTTTATTTTAAAAATAACTATAATGTGACCACATTTATTATTTATAATATAGATATAATAATCAATGTGAATAAAAATAATTTAAGTTTATTTTAATTCAAAATGGCTGACTTTCATAAACACATTGAGAAAATACCAAACATAGCAAGTTGCTTGTCATTTGCACTGAGTGCCAAAGTACAATGTCAGCTATTGAATCAGAGTGACAAAAATGCTTAAAAAACAATTTAGATTTTTACTATTGGTTTAATAATAAGATCTAATGTAATGAGTTTTGATAAATGTTGTTTTTTATTTTCATGGATTTATGTACTAATATAATATGTAATCATACCTGAATATAATCATATGTATAATGACACATGCCTTTACCAAATAAATGAGTAAATCTTTATGAATTTTTACTTACATGGTTTATGGACCCGAAAAAATGTTGGGGTGGACAAACACCCCACTGCATTAATGCCAAAAAAACTCAGTGCACTAACAAACAAGTATTACTAGCATACTAAATAGAAATTAATAAAAAATTTTTTTAAAACAAACCCTTAATATGAAAATAGTCTTCCATTTAATAATAAAAATGGATTCTTAATGTTAATTCTTTGTGGAATGTATTCCCCACATTAAATAGAGGTAGTGGTGTAGCTACCGCAGAGCAGTCGGAGCAAACTGCTCCAGGTGCATGAATCATGAGGACTCCAAGTTAGAAAGGGCAAAATAAAACCTTGTAAGAACATTTGTAAAAAAAATTTTTTTGATTTGCCAGATTTTCTATAAAATATACACAAAATGATATTTTTTAGACAAATAAAACTAATTATAAGCACCTAAAAATTTTAGTATGCACTTGACTTATAATGTTGGCTTCAGAAAATATACATTACTAGCAGATAAGCCAGATGTAGCTCAGGTAAAAAATAACAATGAACATTATGATTATTTTGTAGTTCTAACCCTTCTATTATTATATTATATTATAGTATCAATATTTAATTTATGTAACTAAAAGGTTATTCTTCAAATTCTTTAATTTGTGTACTGTAAACAAATAAAGAATTTTTTAAATGTGTTGGTTGGTCACTCGGTGTGATAAACCCTTACATAAGATAAACTTTGAAGTTATATAAATCAAACACTATAATATATAGCAAACATTAAAACGAAGACCATATAAAAAGTTTGGTTATTTTAGCCTACCACTGTCATGTTTATAACAATATTTGAATGGTATGAAATGGCACAATTTCATTGGTTAAGTACACACCAATTCAAAATGTGTTATCTTAAATTTTTTCTCTACCTCTAAGAATGTTACTTTTAAGAAACCATTTCATCCACAGCCGAATATCAAATGGTCATCTGACAACGAATCAAATTTTGTGAAAAATGGTCTGAATATCTAAACTTGACACTCTCGAAAACCACTTAAATCATATTTTGTGCTTGCCAGTAACCTCGTATTATGTAATTTTCCTATTCGAATGTCACCATACCAGTGAATCTGATAGAAAGAAGGGGCCATTGCATAAGAGGGTCAAAGTAATTTGAGCAAAGATAGTCGTTGACCTCCTCCCGAAAGAGAGAATGGTCAACCACTAGTAATTGATACTGCTCTACTATTAATATTTGAAAAGCGATTTGTGTTATACATGTTGTAATGGTTCCGCATGCAATTGAGTTGCTAACCTTAATGTCTGAAAGACTTCATATAACTTGTTTAAATAAAAAAAATCTTGTAAAACTGTGGGAATAATTGCTTTTATGTTATATTTATGCAAAAACACCTTATCTCACTAAGAATTATTTATTAACCATAACCGTTTTTTACCTATTTTATTATTTTGTTATTTTAAATTGTATATATGTTATGGACAAAGTGATTAATACGGGCATTATGAATAATGACCAACAAAATCAAGCATTGTAATAAATTTTAATAATTTAACAAATTAACCGATCATTATAAATACTGCTACCACCTAGTCGGGCAAAGTGATAATAATACGTTGAGGAGTGATCATCCGGCATACGTTAGCCAATCAGAACTTACATCTTACTTGCTCACGCGTATTGCATTTAGTACCGAACTTTAAATTTATGTGACCAGTAGTTAATCTTTCTTCTTTGACAAAAGTAACGATCATGAAGGAATCATTAAGTGATATGAATAATCGCTTCAACAACCGATTAAACGAGTTAAAAACCAAAAGGGCTGAAGAAGT